ATTAAATAACAACTAAGGGGGAGTGTTATGACTCATTGTATTTATGACTCATTATATTTTATTATAGCTGTCATTTAGGTATTATTCCAAGTCATCAAATGAGATGACTAATGACATTTCAAATATCTATAAATATGTTGCTACTGTATTAATTTGAAATTGAATATATAATATACGATTATCATCCCGCTCTCTCTCTCATTATATATCACTATTATCTTTCTCAATCTTCCTTTCTTTCTCTAAAATTTAATACTCACAACACACTATACACATATACTTTATTACATATCCCCATATATATATATATTTATATCATATATTTTATATCATAATAATATTAATAATAATAAACAACGTAATAATAATTATGAAAATAAAAAAATTAGAATTTAATGACTATAATAATAATTATAACAATAGAAACAATAATAAATATAGTAATAATAAATTTAATAATTATAGTAATAAATATAATAATAATAATAATTATTATTATTATAGACGTAATAATAAATATATTAATAATAAGAATGAATATAGTAACTATAATAATAATAAATATAGAAAAAATATATATATAATACAAAATATTTAATAGCTATAATAATAATAATTATTATAGAAATAATAATAAAAATAGTAATATTAAATTTAATAATAATAATAATAATGATAATAATAATAAATATACTAATAATAAAAAATTTAATAATTCCTCAAAATAAAATTTCTTTTGTGCAATTTTTTAGAATGTATGGCTTCATTATACGTGATTATGCCGAAGGAAGTTTTACGTGCTGATTTCTTTAAAAATTTTCACCTTTCATCAATCACAACACACTTGATGGGTGGCCATGCCTAAGAACTTTTTGTTCATTTTGCTCATCCAACCATGAATTTGTTACCTGCATCAAAACACCAAAAATCAAGGTATGAGACCGACTAACAAACACAACAAAAATTCAAAGCACGCAAAATAAAATTAAAACACTTGAGTTGCCTCCCAAGAAGCACATTTGTTTATTGTCTTTGGCTCGACACAACATCTCTTAAGCTAATCACGCGACTCAAAAAGAGCTACGCACTCCACTTCTTTACCCTAGAACCCCTCATAGTAAAGTTTAAGAGGATGTCCATTTATAAAAAACCTATTTTCCGTGCTTAGACTTTGAATCTCAATTGCACCATACGGAAACACATTAGTAATAAAAAACGGATCTATCCAACGAGAACGAAGTTTACCCGGAAAGAGCTTACGGAGAGAATGATAAAGCATAACCTTTTGACCAACCTTAAAATCCTTCCTCAAAATATTTTGATCATAGAATTTCTTACTTTTTTCTTTATAAATCACAGCATTCTCATAAGCTTCATTTCGAATCTCCTCAAACTGTTGCAACTGCAATTTCCTACATTATCCAGCTTCACTCAAATTCATGTTACACTGTTTAATAGTCCCAAAAGCTATATGTTCAAGTTCAATGGGTAAATGGCAAGGCTTACAAAAGACTAACCTGTGGGGCGACATCCCGAGTGGAGTTTTATATGCAGTTCTGTATGCCCATAACGCATCCTCTAAGCATAAACTCCAATCCTTCCTATCTGGCCTCACCATTTTCTCTAGAATTCCCTTTATCTCCCGATTAGAAACCTCTACTTGTTTTTTTTTTTATTGTGAATGATATGACGTTGAGACCTTATGAAGAACTCCATACCTGCGAAACAACGCTGAAATGGTTTTGTTGCAAAAGTGTGCCCCGATCACTTAAAATTGACTAGGTATTCCAAAGCGAGTGAAAATCAAGGACTTTAGGAAAGTTGCAACAACCTTAGCATCGTTAGTTCGGGTGGCCTTTGCTTCCACCCAATTTGGCACATAATCAACAACAAGTATGATATACAGCAAACCATGGGAAAGTAAAAATGGACCCATAAAATCCATACCCCACACATCGAATACCTCAACAAACAACATCAGTTAGGGGCATTTGATTTCGAGCAGAAATATTGCCTATTCTTTGACATTTATCACATGCTTTGCAAAATTCATATCCTTAAATAATGTAGGCCAATAAAATCCACTATTGAGTACGTTTCTTGCAGTCCGCTGAGAGCCAAAATGAACCCTACATTCTAGTGAATGACAAAACTTCAGAATTGATTCACTCACTTTCTTCGACACATCGTTGGATGAATTGGTCTGCACATCGTTTCCACATGTAGGGGTCATCCCAAATATAGTATTTTGCATCACTTTTCAGCTTATCCTTCTTTGCTTTTGTCCATCATGCAGGAAATTTTTTAGTGACCAAATACTTCACTAAATCAGAATACCAAGGGTAAGAACAAGAAATCGCAAGTAATTGCTCATCCAGAAAATACTCCCTCAAATGTAGTTCATCATGAACCGTAGGAAGGCGACTTAAATGGTCAGCTACAAAATTTTCACTTCCCTTTTTATCTAAAATCTGCACATCAAATTCTTGTAGAGGTAATATTCATCGTATAAGTCTTGGCTTGCTTTTCTTCTTTGCCATTAGATACCTCAAAGCTGCATGGTCAGAAAATACAATCACTTTAGTACCCAACAAATAAAATCTAAATTTTTCTAAAGCAAAAACAACGGCTAGGAGTTCTTTTTCAGTAGTGGAGTAGTTCAATTGGGTTCCATTTAGTGCTTTTGATGCATAGTAGATTGCCCATGAAATCTTTCCACTTCTCTGTGTAAGTACAGCCCCCAATGCCGTATCACTTGCATCACACATAATCTCAAAAGGTAAATCCCAATTTGGTGGTTGAATGATAGACGGTGATGTCAACAACTCCTTAATCTTGTCAAATGCCTTCTTACACTCTTCATCAAACTCAAATTGAACATCCTTTTGTAACAATTGGAAAAGAGGAGCAGCCACCTTCGAAAAATATTTAATGAATCGACGATAAAATCCTGCATGCTCTAAAAACCAACGCAAATCCCTCACCAAAGTGGGATAGGATAAGGCAGGGATAACATCAACCTTGGCTTTATCTACCTCTATTCCTTTTGATGAAACTAAATGTCCAAGAACTATTCCATCTTCTACCATAAATTGACATTTTTCCCAATTCAAAACTAACTTTGTCTCTCGACACCTTCTCAAGATCACAACCAAATTATCTAAACAAGTATCAAAATCATTTCCATATACACTGAAATCATCCATGAAAACCTCAATAATCTTTCCTACATATTCAAAAAATATGTTTACCATACACCGCTGAAATTTCGCAGGGGCATTGCACAAGCCAAATGGCATCCGCCTATAAGCAAAAGTGCCAAAGGGACAAATGAATGTCGTCTTTTCTTGATCCTCCGGATTATATTGCACAAAGATTAATGTCATTGAAACATATCTGGTAGACCAGAAGTCTACAGATTTTATGATTTGGCATGACCGGTTTGGGCATCCTGGTAATACTATGATGAGACGAATTATTGAAAATACCAATGGCCATAACTTGAAAGATCAAAGGGTATTAAATACAAATGAGTTTATATGTGTTGCTTGCTCAAAAGGGAAGTTAATAACTAGACCATCACCAGCAAAAGTGGGAATTGAATCCCTTTTATTTTTAGAATGAGTTCAGGGTGATATATGTGGGACAAATGAATGTCGTCTTTTCTTGATCCTCCGGTGCAACCGCAATTTGGAAATAACCTGAAAAACCATCTAGCTTATCTCTCAACCATTTGATCAATGAAAGGTAATGGAAAATGATCTTTCTTTGTGACTGAATTTAGCTTACGGTAGTCGATGCATTGACACCAACCGGTTTGTTTTTGAACCGGGATCAACTTACCATCGTGGTTAGCCTCAACAGTGACTCCTACCTTCTTTAGGACAACATGAATTGGACTTACCCATTGGATATCCAAAATTGGATAAATTATATCGGCATCCAAGAGCTTCAAGATCTCTTTCTTTACGACTTCCATCATAGCAGGATTCAACCTCCTTTGAGCTTGCCTTGTTGGCTTGGAATTTTCCTCAAGCACAATCTTATGGATGCAAAGAAATGGACTAATCCCCTGTATATCAGCTAACGTCCACCCAATGGCTTCCTTGTGCTCTCTCAAAATTCGGATCAACTTCCTCTCTTGACTAGGGGACAGTGTAGCAGATATGATCACCGGTAATGTCTCTCCAACTCCTAGGAAAGCATACTTTAAGCTTGAGGGCAATGGCTTCATCTCCAAAGCCGGTGCCTGCACAACAGATGGCAACAACCCCTTATCAAATTTTGTTAAAACTGAATTAACAACAACATACCTTGATGGTTCATGCGGCAGAGATTACAAAGCCCGAATCATTTCCTCAAATGCACCACTCATTGAAAATTCATCCAAAGAGTTCATATCCAAACAATTTGTGAGTGCAACCTCCAATTCATCATTTCCACTCAAGTCAAAGACTTCTTGCACATTTTGAGTAAGAATATCTACACAACACAAAGTATTAGGCTCCACAGGATATCCCATTGCATCAAAAATATTAAAATGAACCTTTACACCTTCAAACACCATGGTCAGTGTCCCTATTTTAACATATATCTTTGTTTGTGAAGTGTACATAAAAGGTTGTCCAAGAAGAATAGGCGAAGGATTAGGCGAATTATCATCATGTATATCTAAAATATAGAAATCAACAGGGAATATTAAGTCATTCACTTGCACAAGAACATCCTTAATTATCCCATCGGGGTAAGCGTTAGTTGTATCAGCTAGTTGAATTATTATCCCCGTTTCTTTCAAGGGCCCAATTTTCAAAGAGTTAAAAATAGATGTAGGCATAACATTTATGACTGCACCTAAATCTAGCATAGCTCTTTTAATCTCCATCTAACCTCTTTTGCACAAGATTACAAACATACCTGGATCTCCGTATTTTTGGCAATTTCCTTTGCAGCACAACGAACATAGTCTCTCCAGCTAACATTTTCTCGTCCCCTCTCAACTTCTACTTCTTAATACACAACTCCTTCAGGAATTTTGCATAACAGAGGACTTGCTTAATTGCATCGAGCAAAGGAATTGTTAGCTCCACCTTCTTAAACATCTCCATGATCTCCTTGTCTTTATCGCTTTTAGCTGGTTTCACTAATCTGTGAGAAAATGAAGCAACATTAGAATTAGATTGAATAGGAGGTTTAGAATTCACCTGATCAGTTGACTTGTTCGCTTCTTGCTTAATCTCATTCTCAATCTCCTCTTCAGCTTTCTCTTTTTGTGCAACAACCTTCGGACCTTCAAGCTCCTTACCACTTCGCAAGACCATTGAACTAACATTGCTCGGGTTCATGTGGGTTTGAGCCAGTAGCTTGCCTTTCTCCCTCTCTTTCATATCCCGTACCTCTTTCACAACTTGAGACATTTGATCTTCCAAATTTTTAATACTCAATCTCGTCTCTTGCTGAAATTGCAAAACATTAGAGGCAATAGTTTTAACCATATCATGCAAGGAGTTACCAGGAACATGAGCTTGGGACATGGTCCTTTGTGGTTGATGCTGTGTATATGGTTGAAAACCCGGTGGTTGCTATTGTCCAAAGGATTGCTGATTCTGATTCCATTATCGAAAATTGGGGTTGTCTCGCCATCCTGGATTGTATGTCTTTGAATAGGGACCATAAGCCCTTCATTGTGCAAATCCTGCAACATTCACTTCCACCTCTTGTGTTGATGTAGGACAAGCATCCGTAGGATGCTCTAACACTCGCACAAATCCCATATGGCTTCACTTGAGCGTTCCCTACAACAAGTTTTCTCACAAAAGCAGTTAACTCATTCAATTGTTGTTGCATAGGAGAACTTACCTCGGCAACTTCTTTCAATCCCATGACATCCCTTGGCCCAAATTGTTGAGAGTTCATAGCCATATCGTTCAACAATTCCCAAGCTTCTACCGCAGTCTTCTTCATGAGATCTCCTCCACTGGTAGCATCGATTATCCTCCTGCCAATAGAAGTTAGTCCTTCATAGAAATATTGAATCAGAAGTTGCTCAGAAATCTGATGTTGCAGACATCTAGCAATTAACTTGTTAAATCTATCCCAATACTCATATAAAGACTCCCCTGATGCTTGTTTGATGCCATAAATCTCTTTTCGTAAATTAGCAGCCCGAGATGTGGGAAAGAACCTTTCGAGGAACTTGCACTTCATATCCATCCACGTGGTCACACTCCCGGCTGGCAAGTTGAACAACCAATCCTTGGCTGCATCTTTCAAGGAGAATGGAAAAGCTCAGAGTTTTATCTGCTCCTCAATGATTCCCGGTGGTTTCATGCTCGTACACACCACATCGAACTCCTGCAAGTGCTTTAGTGGTTCCTCCTCTGCCAAGCCATGAAAATACGGCAATAAATGTATTAGTCCAGATTTAAGCTCAAATGTCGTATTATTGGCTATATCAGAAAAAGTAATACACAAGGGATGCTGAATTAAATCGGGAGTAGCTAGCTCCCTCAGAGTGCTCTGTCGTTCTATTGGATGTATCACAACTTCTTCAACTCCCTTGGCCTCTTCACTCTCGTCGGAACTAGAACTGTCAGCCAGTTGTATAGCTAAGTCAGGTTCCAGCGACTCAGTTTATTTTTCAACCCTCTTTCGTTCTCTAGCTTCTTTCCTCAAATGGCGTACAATCCTTTCGATTTATGAATAAAAAATAATTCACCTGTACGACCAGTTCGAGGCATAAACTATTAAGTGAGAAATAGAGATAAATAAAAAAAAAAACCAAATATAAAAAATCTTTATACTGTTCCCCGGCAACGGCGCCAAAATTGCACGCGTGTCGCACAACTTCAAAATAAAGTATCAGTTCCTACGCCACAAAAAAATTGCAAAATGTAGTCGTTTAGTGAGTAGGGTCGTCTCCGCAGGAAAATTGACTATTCGGTTATTTATAATGATACTATGTATATAATTGGGGGATTTTGATCTATCACACTAATTTTGAGAAAATAAATTCACTCAATAAAATAAAATAAAATAAAATACAAGACGGTTTACTAAATATAATTAAACTCTAACATAGGCATGAATTTTTATGTTCCGGATATAAAATTTGTTCATCGACTAAAAATCAAGTTCATTGACTAGTTGGATAAATTGGTTATAGTTGATCTACATTCGTTCACAACCAACATTTCCTTAATTTTCCGATAGCTAAGGTACGACCGTTAGCTATTTTCCTAATCAAGTGAGAATCCTAGGTACGACGGTAGTTTTACTGACTCGACAGCTCCAAGTACTAGGAAGACCCAATTCAATCTAACAAAATTCCTATGCGGATTTGTTTAAAATTGATTCTAATCCCTCCCTTGAGTATTCCTCTAGGTTGCTACACCAATTGAAAAATTACACAATTACAGGTGCCAATCTTCAATTTAGCTACGAAATCTCAAATTAATACGTGCGCAGTAATAAATTTAAGATTTCTAAACTTTTAAATGAGAAGAATTAGAAGCACCCACTATCGATGAACACCAAATGAAACAAAACCAAGTTTCACAAATTCAATCACAAATATCAATTCACACTTACGCTAGAAATGAAATTACTCGGAATTCATAGACATTGAAAACACAAAAAATTGAAAAAGTTCATCATGCCTTCAATTCTTTAGAAATAGATAAAGAAGAGCAATACTAGAATAGAAGAAGAATGCCCCGAAAAGTCGTCTGCAATCCTTCTCCAAGTTCTCTGCTCTCTGCCGTGTTCTTCCTTCTCTTTTTTTCTCGCTAAGAAATATGGTGTCGTGGTAGAACGTGGTAGTCCCTTTCTCTCCCCCTCTTCAATTGCAAATCGTGTCTCTTAATTCTCCATTCCATGATCCCCTTTTAATTAGGTCCCCTTTACACTTAGATCCTCACATAATCTTTTAATTTCCAATTTACCCCGAAAGGTCTTTTTGTAAAATTTCATATTTTCCATATTGTACTTGCGTGATCAAGCCTAAGACCATTATGCGTTCTGCTCCTTTTCTTCCAAATACGCCCCAAAACTTGCCAACTCCATGAAAGATATTACACAATAAAAACACACCATAAGGAGCATATATACAAAATTTCGCATCAAAAAGTTGCCCAAAATATAGCAAAATATTATCATATATAACACATATCAATTTTTGATAAGTAATTGGTCGAGCTGATTTATTGTATGCTCTCTCACCTTTCTTTTTGTTTATATGAATATGATCCAATCCGCGCAAACGTTCTTTAGGGACTGTTTCTAATTCTTGTAGTAATAATAGGTCATTCTCGATCATTGGAAGCTGAGCTTTCTATACGATTCATAATGATAAGACTGTAATTTCTAAATGTAGTACGACGTCATGCCCATAAGTCAATCAAAAAGGTTTACTTCCCGTAACCGACAATTTTGCATTCCAATACGCCCATAACACCTCTTCAAGTGTGTCGTTCCAACCCCTTGGGTTTTCCTCCAAAGATTTTTTAATCATCAAAATCAGTGTCTTGTTACTCGCCTCGGCCTGTCCATTAGCGTGGGGATAGTGTGGCGAGGAGTGGATTAATTGTATGCCATATTGAGCTACGTAGGATTGCACTTTAGCGGTCGTAAATACAGTCCCTTGATCCGTCGTGATGGATTGAGGTATCCCAAAATAATGTATAATATTGAATTTAATAAACGAATTACCTGCGTTTGCTTAACTTGCGTTAAAGGGATTGCCTCGACCCATTTAGTAAAACAGCGGCCGCCACCAAAATAAAATAATGTCCTTTGGATGAAGAAGGGAATAGTTTACAAATAATATCCATTGCCCATCTTCGTAATGACCATGGTTTAGTAATTGAATACAACTCCTCGGTGGATGCTCGTCTCATGGGGCCATGTCGTTGGCATGTCTCGCATCCCCTAACATAGACAAAACAATCGTGTGATCTAGTAGGCTAAAAATATCCATACTTGAAAATACTCCAACGCATAGTAACACCAGACCGATGTGCGCCTGCAATGCCTTCGTGAACCTCGACCATAACCTTTTGTGCTTCGTCACTAACCAAACAGTGAGCTAATGTTCTGTCGGGGCATCGATGATATAAATCTTGGTCGACTAGGGTATATCTTAGAAGCTTCTCTCCAATGCCCTTTGGATTAATCTGATTTGGGTCTATCAACCCATCAATATAGGGCTGACGCCAATCAACCTGCTCATTGGTTTGGATACAATTAATACAAGCAGCCCATTTTTCCGTTTAAGTCCCGACTCCTATTGTGCAAGATCGTTTGCCTTGCTGTTTTCTCACGAGGGATCCCTTCTAAAATAGCTTCTTGGAACTGATGTAGAAGTGCTTGCACTTCATGCAAAAGACCAATAAGATGTGGCTCTCGGACTTTAAACTCACCCAAAGCTCGTCGGACAATAAGCTGCAAGTCAATCGCCTTGAATATGTACAGCTATGACATTTTTCGACTCCAAAAAATGCAAGGAAAGGCAAGCTCATCGGACAATGAGCTGCGAGTCAGTCGCTTTGAATATGTTCAGCTTCATTGTTAGTGCATACCTTGGGAAGTCGATGTGTGAAACGCCAAGCACGCCATCGGGGCTGGTGACGACAACTCTTGCGCCGGATGCATCGGACGCATTTGAACCGTCAAAAGTGACTCGCGATGGTTCCAATCCAGCATATTTAGCTGAAATATCTGAGGTTTGGATCATTCCTGGATATTCGGCTAAAAAAGTCTGCAATAGCTTGCCCTTTTACAGCTTTCAACGGTTCATAGGTGAGTGCCAAGGATGAAAGTTTCATAGCCCATTTGACTAATCGGCCACGCAAAATAGGGCAACTCAAGAGGTAGCGTAGAAGATCGAATTTGCACAGTAATTTCATCTCAAATGGTACAATATAATACTCTAGCTTCGTGCAAGTATAATACAATGATAGGCATAATTTTTCAATCGACGAATACTTGGTCTCTGCATCATTCAACGTCTTACTAAGATAATATATAGCACGCTCCTGCCCCCCAACATCATCTTGCGGTAATAAACATCCAATTGTGTCTTCGGTAGCTGCAATTATAATTTTATTGGTCATCCGTGGATGGGCGGAGTTAAAACCGATGACGAGGCCAATGCATTCTTAATTTTTTGGAAAGCCTCTTGTTGTTCTGCCCCCCATTCAAAGAGCTGTTTATTCCCTCACAATAATACCAAAAAGACTTTCATCTTTCCCGCCGTATTGGCGATAAAATGTCGCAAGAAATTAACTTTTCCCATCAAACTTTGAAGTTCCTTGATATTTCGGGAAAGTCCGAGCTGCTGGACTGCCTTTGCTTTATTTATATCAACTTCGATACCTCGGTGATGAACGAGGAAGCCAAGGAACTGCCCCAGCTCGGACACCGAACACACACTTAGTTGGATTCATTTTGAGATCATATTGCCTCATGCGAATAAAGGGCTGTCTAAGGTGTTCCAAAATGATCATCAAAATTTGGGATTTAACTACTACATCAACAATGTAGACTTTTGTTAATATCTGGTTCTTTCCACAAGACACAAAAATGCACTGGATTTAAGAATTCTTTTATTGATGCTCTGTTTTCTTTTTTTCAAACTCTGTTTTTCTTTTTTTTTTTTTTCATTCCATCATCAAGGCATTCTAATAATAGGAGATTAAAAACAAGAAATTACAAAATATAAATACAACTTAATTCCTAGTCAATAGGAATTTCAAACAACTCGTAACGTCAACACCACTAACCCCACAACCATTAATTAAATTTAATCTCAATACCCCCTCTTAAATTTAATTTCTTTGAATCCTTCATCCCGATTATCATTTTGCACTTTTCGAACATCTCTGTGGGCTGCGGTTTGGTGAAAATATCCGCGGCTTGGTCACAACTTGCAACATGCTCCAGTTTAACAACTCCATCCTTAATCTTGTCTCGGATGAAATAAAATCGTATGTCTATATGCTTACTTCGTTCATGATTCACCGGATTCTTTGCCAGCTCAATAGCCGATTTGTTATCAATGCAGATTTCAGTTGGTTCACACTGCTCTTGTCCTAACTCTCCCAGCAGATTCCTCACTCAAATTGCATGATAGACACACCACAACGCTGCCACATATTCGGCTTCACATGTGGAGAGTGCAACAATTGCTTCTTTCTTTAATTTCCATGTGAAAGCAGTTTTTCCTATAAAAAATACATATCCTGCTGTGCTTTTCCTTTCATCAACATCTCCACCCCAATCGCTATCCGAATATCCCAACATCTTAAATTCTTTCATCTTGGAAAACAAACTAAGTGATTATGTTCCACGAATATATTGTAGAATCCTCTTTAATGTCTTCCAATGCGAGTATCTCGGTTCCTCCATGAACCTATTCACAATTCCAACACTCATCTCCAAATCTGGCCTCGTGCAAGTGAGATAACGAAGACTTCCCACCAAACTTTGGTACAAGCTTTCATCAACTCGGTCTTCATGTACATACTTCAAAAGCTTCATGCCCGGTTCCATCGGCATTGACACTGGATTGTTGTTCGCCATATTGCTTCTTTTCAAAATTTCTTTAGCATATGCTTCATGCGACACAAAAATACCTATTTCACTTTGTTGTATCTCTAACCCAAGAAAATATTTCATCTTTCCGAGATCTGTCATCTTAAATTCACGATTCATTGCTTTCTTGAACTCCTCTATCATCTTGACATTGTTTATCATAAAAATGAGATCGTCCACATAGAGAGCAACGAATAACAACCCCCCTTGGTTCTTCTTCATGTAGAGTGCATGCTGCAATGGACATTAATGGAACCCATTGTCCTTGAAATAGGTGTCGATACGAGCATTCCATGCCCGTGGTGCTTGCTTGAGCCCGTAAAGTGCATTTTTTTTAGTTTCAACACCTTGTGCTCGCTGCCAACTTCAATGTTCCTGGGAGGTTGTTCGAGGTACACATCTTCTTTAAGCACACCATTTAAAAATGCATATTTGATGTCCATTTGAAATATTGGCCATTCGAATTGGGCAACATGTGCAATTAACAAGCGAATTGTTTCCATCCTTGCAACTGGGGCGAACACTTCATCATAATCGATTCCCACCTTTTTTTTATATCCTTTAGCAACGATTCGTGCCTTGTGCCTTTCGATCTCACCATTTGCATTCAACTTTTTCTTGAAAACCCATTTTACTCCGATGGGCTGTCCACCTTTCGGAAATTCCATCAGCTCTCAGTTTTTATTGCGTTAAATAGCATGAATTTCATCATCCATGGCTGTTTGCCACTTCTCATCCTTCACAGCCTCTTCAAAACTAATGTTCTCAGCATCAACCAATAGACAAGAAAAATGTACCTCATTTAAAGAGTCATACAAATTTTGCAACGACCTCCACCTTGGATGCCTTGGTTCATCCTCATCATCAATACTTTCCGGAGCTGAAATATTTTTTGGGATTTTTATTTGACGAACATTTTGTGTCTCTTCCTTTGCATTGCTCCAATCCCACTCAGCTCATTCATCAAATCGTACATCCCGACTCACTATAATTTTCTCATTTGTGGGATCAAGTAGCTTGTATCATTTTGTTTCCTAATCATAACCAATAAAAACGTATTTCTTGCTCTTTTCTTCCAGCTTTGTTCTCCGCTGATCCGGAATGTGTGCATACGCAATACAACCAAACACTTTGAAGTGTGACACCGTCGGCTTTTTACCACTCCACGCCTCTTGCGGTGTTGAATTTTCTAGCTTTGAGTGAGGACAACGGTTTTGCACGTACACCGCACACTGCACAACCCCTGCCCATAGTTTTTTCGCCAAATTCTTGGTTTTAAACATTGATCGAACCATGTTGAGCATTGTTCGGTTCTTCCTTTCCGCGATGTCATTTTGTTGAGGAGAGTAGTGTGCGGTTAGGAATCTTCTTATCCCATGTTCATCACAGTATTTTTTAAACTCCCTTGAATTATATTTGCCTCCTCTATCGGACCTTAGTGACTTCATAACTTTTCCGGTTGATTTTTCACCAAAGCTTTGAACTTCACGAACACTCCAAAATTTTCAGCCTTATCCTTCCGAAAGTAAACCCAAGTTTTTCGTGAGAAATCATCGATGAATGAGATAAATTACCTTTTACCACACTGCATGAATTTGGAGTAATTGGCCCGCAAATGTCTGTGTGAGTTAGTTCAAGAATTTCCTTAGCTTGGTATACAACCTTCTTTGGAAATGAGGTTCTTGAATATTTGCCCTGCACACAAACTTCATAGAATTCATTGTTGTAATCAATATCGAGCAGCCCTTGTACTTTGTTTTTCTTTGCCAAGGTTTTCAATCCTCCATAATGTAAATGGCTGAATCTGAAATGCCACAAAGTTGTTTTGTTACCAACATCTACATTCAAGCATTTTCCTTGTGCCACCTGCAAGTTAAGTTTGTACATCCTGTTTTTACCCATTTCAACACGAGCCACTTGTTGTCCTTGCTTGTCATTGAGATGCAACATCCGCCCCTTCATAAACACTGAATAACCTTTCTCCATAAGTTGACCCAAACTCAAAATGTTACTCTGTAAATCCGGCACATAATAAACATCTTCAATTGTTCCTACCAAATCATCGTTTTGCATGAAACAAATTGTACCTTGCCCTTCAACTCGAATTTTTTATGCATCTCCGAAAGATACGTAGCCACCTTTAGCCTTTCTCAAATTTTTAAATAGGTGTTTCAGGCCACACATGTGATTGCTTGCATCCGTGTCGAGATACCATGTCATGCCATTGTCGTCGTTGGAGTTATTTTCCACCATCATGAGGATTCCTTTATTTTCCTCGTTCTCATCTTCAGTTGTAAGATTTGTGTTCTCTTCCACCTTTTTGTGGCTCCAAAAGTCTCTCGCATAGTGCCCAAATTTCCCACAGTTATGGCACTTATTAGGATTGCAATTTCTCGCAAAATGGCCATGCTTTCCACATTTATGGCATTCGACTATCCTGTATCCTCTACAACATCCTCGACCTCTCCAGTTTTGTGAGTTGGATTGTTCATTTTCTTCTTGTAACTTCCTGGACCACAACCTCTAGTGTTGCGACCACCCCGACCACGTCCTTGTCCACGAGATTGAGAAGACAACAACACCTTATCATCTTTAAAAGATGCTTTCGTTTTAAGGGCTTCCTCGAGTGTCTCATTACTGCTTTTCTTTTTCCACTTCTCATGAGCTTCAAGAGACCCAAAAAGCTCATCTAATGTCAAGGTTGCAATGTCCTTTGACTCTTGAATTGCACACACAATGTTTGTCGAATTTATCCATGAGGAATCATAGTATTTTTTTCCACCGATTGAGTATCATCCAGCATCTCACCATTTCTCCTAAGCTGATTTGCCACAGTTTTGCACCCGGGTTATGTATTCGGATGCACTTTCCGATTCCTTCATCTTCATGCTTTTGAACTCACTGCGAAGGCTTTGGATACGCACTTGTTTCACCCTATTGTCTCCTTTAAAACATCTTTCCAGCTTGATCCATGCTTCTTTGGAGGATTTCGCATAAAAAATCTTTTCAAAGTCAAGTTCATCGAGAGCTTGAAATAGAAAATAGAGAGCAGTCTTGTCCTTCATGCATGTTTCTCTTAATGCCTTCAGTTGATTTTACATTAACCCATCAACTCTTTCTGGTTCTTCATAACCAAATTCGACCACTTTCTACGCATCATTGGCTCTAAGCAATACACAACATCTGAATACTCCAATTCTCATTATTTGATTTTGTTAGCCGTGGAATCATCATCTTTATTGGACTGCTGGAACTCATATTGGCTCTGATACGAATCTGTTCAATAACCGCTACAAATGGCCATTTTTTGGTACAAAAAGCTAATTGTAATGATTTTGTACTGGATTTTGACCGGTGCATATACTCGAGTTACAAAAAGTCTCTGTACTGACTTTTTCTGCAACAAAAATAGGTGGTCAACGCATTTATTGTAACAGTGTTTGCAACGCTATCATTGTACTTTCGATTTATTTGTAGCGGCCATTTACCGTTATAAAAGAATCGTTACAATAAACGGTTATCCACTTGTAACAGCTTTTGTTACGGTAGTAATTCGGTACAATAGTTGGCTTTTAGAAACCTAGTTAATATTTTTTGTACCAGTATTTGTAACGAACAATTTATTGTATGGAAAAAGGTTTCCTTATTTTTTCAATAATAACCTAAAAAAAATGGTTTCGGGACCGAAGAACCTGTACGATGTGAGAAAATACTGCCAAATGACATTACAAAATATGGAAATATTACGGCAATTCTGTATCACCATAAGTTGTAGCAAGTACGCACTGTGTAGAAATATAAATATTTCACAATATAGCCTAACATATATGGCAAAGCGTAGCAACAAACACACAAAATGTAGCAGAGACATCAAGTTCAACCAACATAAAGGACTCAGCTAGCATCAATCCAAAAACAAACGTTAATCATCATAGAATCACATGCCATGCTGCAACGCCCCATGCACCGTCAAAGTGGTCGTACACCGTAGTTACGGGCGACGAACAAGCTGCCAATATTGTGCAAAATTATATAAGAATCTATTTGTGAGATGGTTAAGTTGTAATCCAATTATAAATCTTGTAAATGTGGTTGCGTACATCTTTAAATGTCCAGTCGATTGGCTCGGCGTGGACAACCTTACCGAGTGTTTATGCTCCGGAGGTTGTCCGTAGAATAACCGCAGCCTCCGGAACAGTAGCAGATGTAACAAAAACCCTTACTATGTCAACAGTGTCACCTATGGACATATAAAGAAAACATGTGCAAATCATCGGAAATAAAATAAGACTCACGTTTTATATAATCAATATAAAATATTAAAGATATTAACTAAAACATTATAGCATACATAAGAGAAAAGGTCGGAGATGATCGCCTAATTTAACCATCCATACAACAGCGTAATCAAAATTGTAAAATATAGATTAGTATAACTATAATTATAGCATGGATCCTATCTTGATGACATCCGGACCAACATCTGTACAACCCCACAAGTATAAAACAACCAGCAACGTGATCAATTTATTTGATACATGTGAAAAGCTGTTAGTTTAAACAACCAACTTAAAGATGTACCAATTTAAAAACAACAATTAATTGAGTATTGTTAATGTATCCAAATACCTAACACATAAGTTACATCAAAAATCAAAGTGGTTTGGGGAAAAAAATCAATTTACCCACCAGCCTACAAAAATATTTAATTATAGATTTATATACTGCCCAACAAGGTCATACAGAGCAAACAACCACCCAATTATAGTTCCATATAAATTGCATTGTCACCATATCATGTATTAGTATTTTGACTAACTAATAACCATAGAATATGCTTTACTCAAAATGGCTACAACCAAAACCGATTTCATATAGATAATAAACTAGGTTGACAACAAACCTGGGGTAGGGTCGGATAGTAACAACCCCTCACCAATAACGCGTTTTTCCAAACCACGAGATATGAGAAGAATATGAGACCCGATCTACATGAAAAACGTTATCAAATATCAATCATATAATCTACATGCATGTTCTCGAAGGTGGTAGTGATGTATTAGTAGTGGATGTTATTATCTAAAGGGTGATTCAGTTAACAAATACAAATAAAATTAGCAACAAAAAATTACTAACCGTCAACGGGGTAAGGACATCAGTCCCCGGGGTCTCTGACCTTCCATCTGTGGGGCTAGAACACTACAAAACAGGTGAGTATGAAACGACATGACTCGCCCCAAATGGTACAATGCAAAACTAATTAATACACGAGATATGCATTCTTACAGGGCCCCGTATGGAGGCACGCGGGAAAGAATTCAACAAAGCAGACATCTCAGCACGGATGGTTCTAATTTCAGACATCTCAGCACGGACACTCCTAAATTCAGACATAAATTCTCTAATCTCAACAAGGCCTTTCTGATAGTCCTCAGCAAGCTTTCAGAGATCAGGACCCTCGGGCCCTCTAGTCAAATGACTCCGGGGGTAGGCAGAGCTGGCAGCACTATCAACAGTTGTTTTTCTATTCCTTTTCCCCCCGAGTGCACGGCGGTACAAAGCCTCACGAGCCGCCGGGGTTCTTTTATCAATAAGAATTTTATTAAGTTCATCATTCAAATAAGCCTACAGAATTTCAAACAAATACAAAGATGAAGGACGAGAAGTACTACAATTCCATTCAACAAAAGGTGAGATAGGTTTGCATACCAAAATATCATCAGTCATCTCATCATCACCACCACGTCCATTCATGCGAGACGACATCCAAATTTCCAAATTATCAGGCTCTTTCCCTGTTGCCTTTATCTAAGAGTTAGCCAAATAAGAAACCGGTAGTTAACTTCATTTACACATAAAAACTGGGGAGTCATAGCTGTTGACTAAATTATTGCACAAACAAGAGAATGAAGGACCTCATCCGCCAACGCTGTGAATGGTTTCCGGCCAATCCTGTGCGGAAACTTTCTTTTGATGGAGTTATTGGTATTTCTCCTTGCAATATCCTGCGAACATCGAACCATATGAATTGGAGTAGCCTAGGTAGCATGGTAAGAGCATAAAAAGATGAAGGAAGATATGTAACTTGCCTTAACCTTCTCATCCTTCCAATACTGGACAAGCAACGGCCATTCTTCAGCGACAATCCGATCGGTGGGGACTTTCTTCAATGTTTCGTCGTCATTCTGGTGTGGTGCGAAGTATGTAGACTTGATGATGCATTTCCAATGGCGCCAGACATCCTTCAGGTCAGCCATAACGACCTTCTCTGCCGAATCCGGAAGCCCACAATTGTCCTAAAATAATATAAAGTGTTAATATGTAAGCTTTGCTCTACTCAAGGAAGCATGTAAAGTAACCAAATGTTTAATATAAGGGTTTCTCATCTTCATTCTATAAAACTTACCCGTATCTCAATCCATGCACCTTGCCACAATTGTTCGGGAATTGCTTGGAAACTCGAATACCGTAATGGAAGACACATCCCATTTCTGGCGATGACTTTAACTCCACTTTTGTAATCCTTCACATCTGGCCCGATGATGCTTCTGCCATCCCTGGCCATAAACACAGTCATTGGGGTGTCCCCACCCCATCCACGAGGCATCTTGGCCGCTCCCCGCCCCCTTTTAGTTTCTGTTATTGGATCTACGAATATATTTGAATATTATTTTAGCATTACTACGCTTCAACACTTACCTAGTTAGTGAGTACTGGAATTCATATATATTGTAATATGCTACCTTCCGTCTCAGCTGGTTCATCCCTCTAGGTGAGATCATCTTCATCCATTTCCGGAGGTTCTTCGATTTCAGCCACTGGTGCATGGTTTATTCCCAACGTAATGGGGCCAGTTGTTTCCGTCCCCTGTGTAGGGCCTATCATATCATCATCAATCATATCGCCGATCACCGTCTGCAATATTTTACTCATGTGGTGTTACGAGTTTCGATGTATCATTGTAGCAAGGCAAGGAATTTATTAGGCGTATCTAACAATCAATATTACTTGCTCTGGCTTTTGTGAATCCTGCAATAAAGGACGTCGAACGGAGGATGCATCTACCCTTGCTGCCGTCCGAGCATCCCGCTCTCTCTCCCACTCTTCGGTAATTGATTTTAAGCGGTCCAAAAGAGGTGAGACATGGGCACCCTTGCGTCTAGTGGTCATCCGTTTAGAACCAACTTGCTTCGGTGGAGAGGGTGCACTAACCTCCGGGTGATTGGTTGTCTTGGGGCTGCTGCGTGCAAGGGCTCTTGTGACCCGTCAGAGTGGTGAACCTCCAACCTCTTGCAATACAGATTGCCTTTCAGGGTTGGTTCTTGCCATAACCTAAAATGAAAGAATTCAAATATCCTGTTAGCAACATATATGCAAGAATGTATAAATAAATTAGAAACAACATGCTTTCAACAAAAAATGTAGTATGATAAGATAACTATTTCATAGGAACAACACTTACTAGGCCGAGAATATATTAAGTGTGAATGATTCTATTTACCTTATTTAATTCAAAACCGTCTGTTGTAAGTAAAGACTACTATAGTAATGTTTCCACTTGCCAAGTCCGTTCATCTTTTCCAAAAGTCAAAAAGTATATGAGAACCCAAAAGTGAAGCCAATTACTACACCGACTCATCTCCGCTAAATCGGAGCCCCATCAGTCTCCTAGTCCGAGGACTCGCCAAGGTGGCTTTGTATACCAACGGATACATTCCCTAGCTGCTCTCCTTCTACTATCGTACCTTCTACGCACTCTCTCACTTAATACTCATGGGATTCCCGAGAACAATACCCATCATCTAAGGGGAACCTATTATTGAATCTGTTATCAATCATCGTGTAAACATCGTAGTTATCTCTCTTTACCATTGGCACAACGACACTCCATGCTCCATCAATTGGATCATCGATGTACCAAACTTGTCTTGCTTGTGTAGCTAAACAAAATGGTTCATCTATGGGAAGATTTTTTTTAGTACATCAAATGTGAGAAGTTTACTAACTTGTACCTAAATTCGTCTTCTTTCACGCCCGTCTCTGGGTCCACCCAATCGCATTTGAATAGAAGGTGTTTATTCTCGTTGTTGTACTGCACCTCTATAATGTCGGTCGCCATACCGTAATATGCAACGGTGCCTGAACATGGGTTAACGTCTCTTGCACTAGCAAAACTCATAGTATCCGCATTTAGCATCACTCCGGCACACCGAGTCTTTTTCCCGTCATCTATTGACTTGACTTTAAAGCGCAAACCTCCAACTATGCACGAAGTGTACCTTGTTGCATGACGGTTGGGTCCGTGTGCTAATGTCTTCATATAATCAGTAACCGTCCCCTCGACAATGTGTGTTGGTTCTTCTACCTAAGCGCACAAATAAGTTATGTTTACGCATCCTTGATAGGTTTTATTTCTCAAAGTGAGAATGGAGTGAAAATGAACACGGACATAATTTTGAAACCAGCTTGGAAATTGTTCTGTATGGATCCGTTGCACTTCCCAGGGACTTGCACGTGGCCGTGTCCTTCTTATGCTTTCAAGATGAGTCCTAGTAGTAGATGGTTGAAGTTAATCTATGTATTCACTATGCGCACAATAGGAATATTTTTGTAGAGTAACTAAAAGTACCTTCTTGCTGGCTCAATAGCTTCCGAATTGCCTAATATGTACTCGTGAATTTGTTGCAAGGAGATAAAATCAAGGTTACAACGCATCCCACCAACACCACGGCCAGTTGTGCACCCCTGGTCATCACGGCACGGGCCTCGGTTCTCTTTTGTCTCGAAATCACCAAGATACCTTGAACAAAATGACATACACTCGTCCGAGAGGTATCCGCATGCAATGGACCCCTCTGGCTGTGCACGGTTACGTACATACCTCTTAAGAGTAGCTAAATACCGTTCAATAGGATACATCCACCTATAATGCACAGGTCCGGCAATCATTGCCTCTTCCGCCAAGTGAACTGAGAGATGCTCCATCACACCAAAAAAATGACGGAGGAAATAACTTCTCTAGATGGCAGAGAGTCAAAGCTACCCTTTCCTGTAATTTCTCCAACTGACGAACTGAGTTGTTGGGTGAGCACATCGAATTGAAGAAGCCACACAATTCTATCAATACAAGAACTACTTCTCTCGGTAGTGCCCTAAAGAAGGAGAACGAATACAACATTTGATCTGAAGTTGTACAAGCACACAATGATCATATTCGAGAAATGATAACAAAAATACAAGGTGTACCGGCGGAGGGAAATAGCAAGAATCTTTTGCATTAGAACATGACAATCGTGGCTCTTCAATCCCCAAATGCTTAGTTGCTCCACTCTCACCCTACGGGATAAATTGCTACTGAAACCATCGGGGGGTCTTAGATTTTTCAAGACCGATAGAAATATTTTCTTTTCAGAGGAACTCATGGTGTAAGCGGCTGCAGGTAAATAAAAACCACCATTCGGTCTCGGAATAGGATGCAAAGAAGTTCTTATATTCAAAGTGAGAATGGAGTGAAAATGAACACGGACATAATGTCTTCATATAATCAGTAACCGTCCCCTCGACAATGTGTGTTGGTTCTTCTACCTAAGCGCACAAATAAGTTATGTTTACGCATCCTTGATAGGTTTTATTTCTCAAAGTGAGAATGGAGTGAAAATGAACACGGACATAATTTTGAAACCAGCTTGGAAATTGTTCTGTATGGATCCGTTGCACTTCCCAGGGACTTGCACGTGGCCGTGTCCTTCTTATGCTTTCAAGATGAGTCCTAGTAGTAGATGGTTGAAGTTAATCTATGTATTCACTATGCGCACAATAGGAATATTTTTGTAGAGTAACTAAAAGTACCTTCTTGCTGGCTCAATAGCTTCCGAATTGCCTAATATGTACCCGTGAATTTGTTGCAAGGAGATAAAATCAAGGTTACAACGCATCCCACCAACACCACGGCCAGTTGTGCACCCCTGGTCATCACGGCACGGGCCTCGGTTCTCTTTTGTCTCGAAATCACCAAGATACCTTGAACAAAATGACATACACTCGTCCGAGAGGTATCCGCATGCAATGGACCCCTCTGGCTGTGCACGGTTACGTACATACCTCTTAAGAGTAACTAAATACCGTTCAATAGGATACATCCACCTATAATGCACAGGTCCGGCAATCATTGCCTCTTCCGCCAAGTGAATTGAGAGATGCTCCATCACGCCAAAAAATGACGGAGGAAATAACTTCTCTAGATGGCAGAGAGTCAAAGCTACCCTTTCCTGTAATTTCTCCAACTGACGAACTGAGTTGTTGGGTGAGCACATCGAATTGAAGAAGCCACACAATTCTATGAATACAAGAACTACTTCTCTCGGTAGTGCCCTAAAGAAGGAGAACGAATACAACATTTGATCTGAAGTTGTACAAGCACACAATGATCATATTCGAGAAATGATAACAAAAATACAAGGTGTACCGGCGGAGGGAATGACGAGGACGTCAAATCTTTAAGCATTCAAATGCCCGTGGGACCCATCACTCGAAGCCGAGCTCGTCAGTTTCAAAAATCCGTCACTACATTGATCAGATGCTTTTTCATGGAGAATCAATTTAAGGCTGATGCTTGGAGACCACTTAGCCCTTACCTGACGCTCCTTCAATGGGACCCGCAAGAATTCCAATTGAAAGATCAAGAAAATCGCTAATAATGGAAGGTTATCAAGAGAATCATCACTTATGGAGAGAATCACTAATCATGGAAGTATATCAAGAGAATCCTCACTTATGGAGAGAATCACTAATCATGGAAGTATATCAAGGGAATCATCACTTATGGAGAGAATCACTAAATCATGGAAGTATATCAAGGGAATCATCACTTATTTCCTTTTATTATAAGTTCCCATATAGTATGATTCCATATCTAAAACTTCCCTAATTATTTATTTCCTTATAGTTAGACTTACCTTTTGGTTTGTTTCCTTTATTACTTGTTGCCTTTTATTTTCCTCAAGGACCTCTATATAAGGTCCTTACCTATCATTGTAATGCGGACCTTTTTTTTTACATCTTGAATTGAATTTCACTTTTATATTTTCTAGTGTTAGGGAGTGATTTCCTCGCATTTAGAATCTCAAATCGGGTCTTTGGAGTGATTCCATCGGTTCGTGGCTTCCAATCCTTTGCAGTGGGATTTAGCCTATTGTTTGTGTTTTACCTGTGGATTGATTTCAGGTCCGAGACTTATTCTCGTGGTTGGTTATCATCCATACTAATTCACATTCTCTGCACTATCTTTCTTCTTCTTTCTCTTTTCTTTTATACATATTCTTTATCCATTTGTTCTATTGAACTTTGTGGGTAAGAAAATTATGTTGGTTATAATTATACGCGGCCGGGCCGTGTCATCTGGTATCAGAGCTAGTTGATACAATCTCTTGATTGATATCACGGTTCTTATTTGAAAAAAAAAAAAAAAAAAAGTCAAAAAAAAAAGCAAAAAAAAAAAAACGAAAAAGAGGCAAAAAAAAAACGAAAAAAAAAAAGTTATTATCAAATATAAATATATTTGTTATTTACTTCTAGTTCTCGAATCATCTTTTCTTTTATCAAAAAAAAAATAAAAATAATCTATTTAGATTATTTGTCTTCTACCTTCATTCTGAACTTATATTTCTTTTGGTTTCCCTACTGTTTTGGATTTTTTGGCTATCGTCTTTGGGAGAATTCCATCGATTTGATTTGAGTCCTTTTTGCGAGACGGAGAGGTACATAAGGTGTGGAGTGATACACGAGAGTTCTAGTGAGGTTATTTTCTTTTTTTCTTCTATTTCTAATGGCAGGGGGTGAAGGATCCAATTCTCAACAAGTTGATGTACAAGGTCTTCTCAACACCATTCTACAAGAGTTCAAAACTCTTCACTATTCTCGATTGGAATTGATGAATAATAGGATGGATCAACTGGAAGAGAATCAACAAAAGTTACAGGAGAATATCCGACCGTTACCGGAAACTCAGAGGCGAAATGATGTTCAACCGCATTTGAGGCCAAGACGCAACATCCGGCCCCCACCCCCACACAACTTTGACGAACCCGATGATGAGGAGTTTGAAGGAAATTGGGAACGACGTAGGCATCATAATAACTATCACCGACGGGATGGAGATGAGGCTATCAACTCGATCAAGTTTCAAGTGCCGCCGTTCCAAGGAAAATCCGACCCTGAAGTATTTTTGCAATGGGAACGAAGGTTAGAAATAATCTTTGATGTTCAACAATTAACTGACCAACAAAAACTCCGTGTGGCTGTAATGGAGTTTTCAGATTATGCCCTTGCATGGT